AGCCCTATTTTATAGATGAAGAAACTGAGGCATGGAGAGCTTAAGTAAATATATTGAAGATTACAGTTTACTTACTAAGTAATGAAGCCAAGACTGAAACCAAGAAGTTTGAGTCCAGAGCCTCTGCCTTTCACCACTTTGAAGTCGATGTAAGTTGTCTTTTGTAAAGGAGTATAAGAAAGATGCATAGGAAGGTGTGATAGGAAGAGAATAAGCAGGGAGGTGTGGAAGGAAAACATGAACGAAGAGTTTATAGACCACGTGGTGGCATTTGAACTTTATCTTAAAGGTAACAGGGACCCACATGATGGATTTTGAGGAGTAACGTGGTCTGACTTATTTGTGTATATTACTCTGTTAACACTGAATAGCACAGATCATAAGGGAATAAGACTACTAGAGGTAAGCAGACCAATTGGTAAACTATTGCAAGAACTGATAAGGACCAGGAAATGAAAGTGTGAACTAAGGTAGAGGCAATGGTGATAAGGAGGAGGGGACGAGGGCTTATAAAGAGGGAAGCCCTTTAAGGTATGGGAGGAACTGAAGGCCCTTGAGGGCGAGACAGAAAGAGTGAGGTCTCACCCGAAAGAGAAATGGCAGAACAAAGCTCCACCGACGCAACCACTCCACACCCAGGTCTCCTGTGCAAGCAACTTCTCTGCGCCAGCTCAGCCCACTGGCCTCAAAGATTTATCTCCATAAGGCTGGACCGCGGCCCCCTGAACTACAACACCCATAGTGCCCCACGCGCAGGGCGAGTGACCTGGCCCCTTCCGATCCCCACTAGCCAATGGGCTTCGCCAATTTCCTCGGCCCCGGAAAAGCCTCTGGAGGATTGGGGGCTTCTGGTCTGGTGACTCGTTCATTTTGACCCTCGGGGGATCCAAAAGTGTGGTGCTTAAAGCGAGACCGCAACGCATCTGTCTTAGGTCTAAGGAAGGGACCTTCCATGGTATAGGTAAAACTAACGGAACGTGGGTGGCTTAGGCGGATCGATAGCCAATCCACTCCTTTTAGGCCCCTTAGCCACCTGTTCCTGGCCGGGTCTCGGACCTGGGGCTCATGCGCACTGTCCCACCTATTCCGCGGCGGGTCTCGGACTTGGAGCATGCGCGCTTTTCCTCCGTCTCGGGGCGGGCCTCGGATTTGGAGCGCATGCGCAGTTGCCCTCGGGGGGGGGGGGGCGGTCCTTGGCATAAGATACTCGCCCACTTTAAGACAGAGTGGACACCTGGTCGTGGGTCTCTAGTTTTTCCGTTGTGTGTAAGGCATTGCATTTTGGTTAATTCTGTCTTTTTTTGCCTTCATTTTCTTTCTACTGTTTAACTTCGGGATGCAGCAGTGAAGTGTTAATAAGAGAGTCCCAGAGCTGGAGTTGAAATTTATACTTGGTAACAAACCAGCTGTGGGGCATTGGGCAAGTCACTTAAACGTCGGGACCTCGGCCTCATCTGTGAAACCAGGATGCCGCTTGAGGTGCAGCCTGCCTCTTCACGCGGCTGGGGGGACTGTGGAAACGGTACCGGTGGTGGCCACAGGGGGCAGCACTGTCCAGGCCAAGCCGCCTCCCTGAGTCCCATGGCCCAGAGACCCAAGAAGCTGAGCTGGGCATGGGTCCAGCCTCGAATGAAGTGGGAGCAGGAACTGAAAATGGGACAGCATTGCTGGGGTCAGCTGGACGGAGAGGCAGGGGAAGAGAAGCTGCATTGGCTTTTCTCTCTATCAGCAATTCCTGATAACTCTTTAGCTAAATATCTTCCCATCGTACCACTTTTCTCTGTCCCTGCTGCCATTCATAGATCACCATCATCTCTTGCTTAAATGATTTCCCTGTCTCCAGTCTCCACCTCACCCCTGTTGGATCATTCTAAAATGCAAATGTGATCATTAAAACACACCGTGGCTCCCCTTTGTGCTGGAATAAAGTACAAACACCTTAAGGTTTTCATCTCCTGGCCTCTTCCTACTCCTCCAACCCCCTCTCTCTCTCTATTCCAATCATGTTCAAATATTATTAGTTCCTTCAACACACCAGGCTGCCTCTTACCTCAAGGGCTTTTTATGTATAGAAACAATTTAATGAACAGTCTGAACTCTGCTGAACACAATCTTGAGGTGGTTGTAACCAGTGCCTTCCACCATATTCAGTTCTCCATTTCTGGCTCCGACAGATTCTGGAGCTTTCTGTTCATTTAGTTATTACAAGTGCAGTCTAGTGTAGCCCACTTTAAAACCTCAATCTCGCGTCAAGTTTTACACTCCTTCCCCTCAGTGTGAGCTAGGTTTCAGTCTTCGGACTTGGTTTGGGGAAATGGTGCATTCTCTCCTTTAATAGAACTGTCTCTTGCACTAATGTAAACTACTTGTTGTTCTGGGACCTGAAGGAAGGATGGGGGAGGGTAGAGGAGGAAGGGCAAAAAGTCCTTTTACCTAATGGACATGTAATTACAATCACCTGTTGCTTATCTGCCTCTCAGGCTGAGGCTCACTGGTCATGGACACTTTCCATTTAGAAGGTGCCCATATACTAGCTTTTATGGGTACGTGGGTTAGCTTCCTGGGAGCTCTCCCCATTGCACAATCCCTTGATGGGAAATCTGCTCCAGCTTAACTGCTTCTCACAAGTCCTCAGATCCTTGGTGGTATAACTAGGCTCCCCTGGCTACCACTTTTCTTGGAAGGAGAACCAGCAAGATGGCTCAAGCCCTGTTGATTTGCACACTGTTCATTTGACTTACAGGAAACACACACATCCTTGTTGCAGGAATGACAGCTCTTTCCCTGTCCACCCTCTCCTTCCTCCAGGAATCACAGAACAAATCAGCAAGTTCATCTGCAGATATCTAACCAGGGACTGAGATGTCAGTCTCTCCTTGCCAACCCACGAATTTCTATGATTGGTTCTCTTGGAAACTCCTCACTTTGGGGAAGTGACGACAAAACGCACGACACTCGATCCCTTGGTTGGTGACTGAATCGTGACTCCATCAATTCCCTTTCTCTTTTCACCTCCACACCATCTTTTATTAATTTCCTGCAGAGGTAGAGGATGGGGTACTGGAGTACTGATGGGGTACCACGACTGGGGTACCAGAACTGACTTGCCACTTTTCGATGTTACGTGTCAGTTTGGCATCTAACTGACAATTCCAGGGTATAAATTAAGTCCTACTTATCCTGCAACACAGATGCTGTCTCCTTTGCGCAAAACACTTGTCACACACCTTGACACCTTCTCTTTTTCTCCTCTTTCTGTGACTAACTCCTCCTCATCTGTTAGGTATCAGTGTAGATATCATCACTACCAGGAAGAGATCCTAACACGACCAAGCCTAAGGCAGGAGACTGATCTACCACTCCACAGCTCCCCGTGCCTCCCTTATCATAGCACTTACCACATTATATTCCACATGGCTCTTGATAGTCTATCTTCCCCCATGAGACTACGTCCCATGAGGGCTGGGACAGTGTCAGTAGTGCTCATTTTTGTACTCTTAGTGCAAAATGAGTAAAGATTGTACACAGCAAACACTCAATATTTGTTGGCTAAATAGATGAACAAATGATTCATATGGTGTTGGGGAGGAATCTGTGTGATTTGAAAAAGCCTAGGGTCCTGATGAGATGCCCCTATACCTGCTGCTGCCTACTCCCTGAGAACTATTGTGCTCTTCCTGCCACACACATCAGATTATGTTGGTAGAGCATCTTTGAAACATCTAAAGTGCTGTATTAGAATCTGCGTGCACTTTTATAAATTAGTTTTATTTGATCAACCTACCCTGTAAGCATTTGCAATGTTCGTAAAAGAGGAAATTGTGAGACAACCAAGGATGGGATATTACCTTAAACTTTTTGCTCCATTCCTGACAAGCCCAGAATCCTTTTCCCAGTTGATTAAAAGTGTGACTCAGTCCAGCAGGAGCTCCCTTTCCACTATTTGACTGTAATAGAAGGAATATTATGACTTCTCCTAATACACCACAGCCTCTGGATGTGATGTCTCTTCATTTGTTCAACAAACTACTATTAACTGACCTAGAAGGGCTGAGGGAGCTTTAATGTATGTCAGGCTGGGGCCCTTGAGGCTAATGGGACAGGATGAAGGAAGAACAGTTTCCCTGAAGTAAGCATATGTCAGACGCTAGGTAGAGATCTCAGAGCTAGAGCCATTCCTTCCTTCTCTCCTTACCCTCCCTCTCCACACCCCCACAATGGAGCAGAAAGTACAGGTTGTGCCACAGGCCTGTGGAAAAATGCCTCTTGGCCTTCAGAGCCCTGGAAAGAAATAGGATATTGTTCCCAGGAAGCAGTTCCAGACCTAAGATCTTCCCCATACCCCCTGCCCTGAATTGTCTGTTCTCTCTTTTAAAATGGGGCAGCATTTTTGTCTGAAGAACCAAGTTCCTGGATTAACTACAACATGAACTTACCCAGAATATCACATTCACTTGTTCATCCAACAAATATATATTGAACAATATTTATATGTTAGTTTCTGGTGATACTACAATAAAGACACAATTCCTGCTCTCAAGTTACAATCTAGTGAGGGAAAAAAGTTTCAGCACTAAGAACCATGATCGAGTTATGCATTTATGGCCTGGAGGTGGTGGAGGTCAGGGGAAGCTTCCCAAGGAAAATAACACTGGGTTAGCCTTAAAGGAGAAGTTGACCAAGCAGGGAAGGGGGAGGAGAGAGATGCAGGATTGCAGGCAGAGTAAACACCAGGCACAGAGGTCACGGGATAACAGAAGCAAATCTTTGCTGAGCACTGACCCTGTGCTGGACACCACTCTAAGAACTCGACAAGTATTACCTCATTTGATTCTCACAACAACCCTTTGAAATAGTTACTATGATAAACCCCATTTTATAGATGAAGAAACTGAGGCATGAAGAAGTTAAGTAAACATACTGAACAAGATCACAGTTCACTTAGTGATGAAGCCAAGACTCAAACCAGGAAGTTTGCGTCCAGAGCCTCTGCCCTTCACTGCTTTGCTATCTGGTTCTTGAGGTCAATGTAAGTTGTCTTTCATAAAGGAGGATAAGATGCTTGGCAAAGTGTGATAGAAAAAGAGACTAAGCAGGGAGGTGTGGAAGGACAACATGAATGAAGAGTTTATATACCATGTGCTGGCATTTGAACTTTATCTTAAAGGTAACAGGGACCCAGATGTTGGATTTTGAGGAGTAAGGTGGTCTGACTTATTTATGAATATTACTCTGTTAACATTGAATAGAATAGATCATAAGGGAATAAGACTATTAGAGGTAAGGAGACCAGTTAGTAAACTACTGCAAGAACTGATAAGAAGCAGGAAATGAAAGTTTGATGTAAGGTAGAAGGATAGGGATAAGAAAGAGGGGATGGATGTGAGGGATATTTCGAAAGAGGAACTGACAGTACATTGAAAGTGAGTAAGTGCAGGAGTCAAGAAGAAAGAGCAGTCTAGCCTGACTCCCAGGTTTCTTATTTTGGAGTACAGAGGAGAAGCAGCGTTGAAAGAGTAGATAATTAGGATGAATCTGGCTGTGAGGGTTTGAGATGACTGTGGTACAGTTAAAGGGTCAACTAGGCAAGATAATGGGCAGTTAGATTTATGAGTCTGGAATAAGGAATGAGATCTGAGTAAAGATACAGGTTACAGAGCCATTGGCTTATTGGTTGTTACTGAAACCATGAGAATGGATGAGATAACCCAGAGAAGATTTCCAAAGATAAAAAGACTGAGGGTGGACTCTGGGGAAACACTAAACATACAAAAGAACAACAGGATGTAAGGGGCTAAGAAGGAGGACTGAGGTAGGAGGAAAATTGTGCAGGCGTGCTCTCACCAAAGCTAAGAGGACAAAAGGGTTTCAAGAAAGAGGAATTGGTCAGTTCCGATACATTAAGATAAAATTTGAAAAGTACTCATATATTTGGGATGAAGAGGTTGTTTTTGGCCCTGGGGAAAACTGATTGAGTGGTGGGGATGGACGCCAGATCAAAGTGGGTTTAGGAGCAAGTGTGGGTGGAAGGAGATGGAGACGGGGCACTTTTCAAGAAACTTGGCTTTGATGGAAAGGAGAGAACAGAGGATGAACAGAGGGACGTTTTGTTTTGTTTTGTTTTTTGAAAGATAAGAAAGACTTAGCTTGGTATATTAGTTTCCTATTGTTGCTGTAACAAATTACTACAAACTTAGTGACTCAGCAGTACACAAATTTATTATCTTAAAGTTCTGGAATCAGAGGTCTTAAAGTGGGTTGGCAATGCTTCATTCTTTTTGGAGGTTCTAGGGGAGGATCTGTTTCCTTGCCTTTTCTAGCTTCTAGAGGCTGTCTATATTCTTCAGCTTATGGCCCCTTCCTCCATCTTCAAAGCCAGCAATGTAGCATCTTCCAATAGCGCTCTCTCTTTCTCTCTCTCTCTCTCTCTGCTTTTGTTGTCACATTGTCATTCTGTCTGACTCTTAAAAGGACTCTTGTGATTACATCTGACCCACCCAGATAATGCAGGATAATTTCTCCATTTCAAAATTCTTAACTTAATCGTATCTGGAAAGTCCCTTTTACCATGTAAGAAAATATATCCACATGTTCTGGGACGTCTTTGAGGAGCCATTACACAGCCTACAACATATAAGATCTGCCTGGCACATAGGAAGTGCTCAGAAACAGTATTATTAATAATAATATTAATATTTCTATGCTAAGGAGAGTCATCAGAAAGACATTACAAACACAGGAGAGAGAGAGAGAAAGAGAGACTCAGAGTGAGAGAGAGAGAGAGTCTGAGAGAAAGAAAGAACACTTAGGCCAAAAGGGATGTGCCCAGAACACAGCTGGAGGGAAGAACACTGTGGCCCCTGGACATTAAGTGAGACAATATACACACACCTGACAACGGTTTTTGAATGCAGCATTGCATACATGTTTGTTTTTCCCTCTTATTCCTTCAAGTGTGCCTAGACTAGTGAAGGACCATGGTATCGTCCCTACTTCAGCCTGACAACCCCACCATATGTGATCATGTGAGTTCCCCAAAATTTCACCTCTGATTTATCATTGTTTCTCCCAGAGCTCCTGGCTCAGTCTCTTGCAAAATAGATGCTCCATAAATATTTGGGCTCGAGTAAATGAATGAATTAATGAAAGAACAAATGAACAAACTTAAATATTGATTTAGGGTGATCAGAATGTAGCAGCTTCCAACAGTGAAGACTTCCTGCAGAAAGGCCTGTTTTAGCAGGGTTAAAAGGAGAGAGCTTAAAGAACAGAAAGGGAGATGTTGCAGGTGGAAGGAATTCTTCACAGGCAGAAAAGGGAGCCATGGGAGGGCAAGGTGGTATGTGGGAGTCAAGTTTTCCCCCTTAAGTGTAAACACTGGCTGAACTGATGAAGCACGTGGTCAGTAGAGGGCGTTACAAACTGCTAAGAATGAGTCTGCATTGATGCAAGATAGATTAAGAATACTCCATGTTTCTTAAAGAAATGAGAATGACACTACAACAGAAAGAGCATTGGCATAAAAAGAGCAAGGAGTTAGATTTAAAAAAAAAATCTGAAGCTGAATGCCTGGTTCTAGAACAAACTCCTGCATGACCTTGAGCAAATTACTCAATCTCTTTGAGCGTAAATTGCCTGAGAGGATTAAGCCAGCTGACGAAGGTAGAGCACTTAGTTCGGTAGCCAGTATAAAGAAAGAAAGAAATGATTACTATTACTGTCTCTCGGAGTTCCTGTTTTAAATAAAATAACATGTCAAAGCACCAAGGATAGTATCCTAACAGGGCCCAGCAAACTTTAATGTCCTCTCTTCCATATTAGAAATTTAAACTAAATGCTCTCCATAAAAAATTTAAACTAAATGCTCTTCATAAACAAGGAGTGAGAGACACTGGAAGCTGGGAAGCTCTTGAGATTCTGTTACTGTCATCTAGGTAAGAAGACTCATGTAGTAATCAAGTTTCTTCAGGAAACAGAACCAATAGGATATATACACATCTGTGTATATATGTATATGTGTGTGTGTATATATTATAGGAATCGGCTCATGCGACAGCGGAGGCCAAAAAGTCGCATGATCTGCCGTCTGGAAGCTGGAGATCCAGGAAAGCCGGTTGTGTAATTCAGTCAGAGTCCAGAGACCTGAGAACTAGGAACATTGATGTCCAAGGGGAGGATGGATGTCCTAACTCGAGCAGAGAGCAAATTCACCCTTTCTCCACCTTGTTCTATTCAGACCCTCAACAGATTGGATGAGCCCATCTGCACTGGTGAGGGCAATCTTCTTTATTCAGTCTACTGATTCAAATGCTGATCTCTTCTGGAAACACTCTCACAGGCATACTCAGAAATAACATTTACCAGCTATCTGGGCGTCCCTTAGCCCAGTTAAGTTGACACATAAAATTAACCGTCACAACTCAGGACCTCTCAAGTTTATGGAGGACTCATGCGTTTGGGATTTAAGTGGCCAATACATAACACCTCCCTTTTCCCCACCAGTATACGTGACAATACTCTTTGCATCACAAAAATTCTGAACCAGTGGAGATAGAGGAATGAGGCAGATGGAAAAACTGACCTTTATAAAGACCATATTGGAAGATATGGTTTAGGTGTGCAGCGACAACAGGGAAGTTCTGAGTTAGACTGACTCACCACCCCATCATAATTATCAATGGAAAACCATAGGCCTCTCACTCATGGGAGTGTACCCCTGTAAAACTTACAGAAAGGAGCAGATCCAAGTGGGTGCTCTCTGTACCCAGGGGGTGGAGTGGGAGGGAGTGAAAGCCAGAGTGGGGAGAGGCCATAAGTTTTCTGCCCCAAGAAAGAAAACTTTTTTTCTCTTTAGGCTTTCGGACGCCAACATCCAGGTCATCCAGAGATGCTGGCCCCAGCCTATGGTAAACTTTTCCTCGACGGTGTGGTGGGTGGGTCAGTGGAGTTTCCCTGGAGATACTGGGGGGAGCTCAAACTGCCAGGCACTTCAATGTGACTCAGTTTCTGGGCCCTGCCTCTCCAGAAATAAAACAAGGGCAGTTCAATCTGGATATCTTCAACAGTTGGTTCAGGGAATGATGAGTTGTTGGGCCATTTCCTACAGGTCAGCAACCCAAGTGGGAGCATAAAGGAAACGACCAGCTCCAGGCTCCAGCAGAGACTCGTCTGTACCCCGTCTAATGTGAGTTAGGAGTAACCAATCAAACCACAGTCCCAAGTGAAGCAGCAGAATAGGGAATGGAGAAGAGTACAGAAGATAAGGCACTGAGGAGCCCAGTTTGGCTCAGGAGATGTGATCAATATGCCTGAAACAATGAACCATAAAAGACACAGACGAGAATGCTAATAGTGGGTATGGGGTTTCTTTTGAGGGAGGATGAAAGTATTCTCAAATTAGATTGTGATGATGTTTGAACAACCCTGTGAACATGCAAAAAAACATGAAATTGTACACTTTAAATGGGGGAATCATGTGGTATGTGAATTATATCTCAATAAGAGGTTTGAAAAAAAAAGATCCTGACAACGTGTATCAGTGAACTAGGAGAGTGAGACCAGAATCCCGGTCCTTTACTTATGATGCCAATAACTGTGTGACTTGGTCACTTTCCTTTTTCGTGACTCAGTTTCCTCATCTGTTAGATAAAGGAGTTGGACTAGATGATTATCACAAACTTGGTGTTTTTTTTTAATAATTTTATTTATTCATTTATTTTTTCCCCAAAAGCCCCAGTAGATAGTTGTATGTCATAGTCGCACATCCTTCTAGTTGCTGTATGTGGGACGCGGCCTCAGCATGGCCAGAGAAGCGGTGCGTCGGTGCGCGCCCGGGATCCGAACCCGGGCCGCCAGCAGCAGAGCGCGCGCACTTAACCGCTAAGCCATGGGGCCGGCCCCCAAACTTGGTGGTTTAAAACAACAGAAATTTGTTCCCTCACAGTTCTGGAGGCCAGAAGTCCAAAATCTAGGTATTGTCAACACCATGCTCCCTCCAGAGGCTCTTGGGGAAAATCCAGCCCTTGCCTTTTCCAGCTTTCAGTGGCTGTGGTGGTCCCTCGGCTTGTGGCTTCACCTCTCTCTGCTCTGTCTTCACACCCCCTTCTCCTCTGTGTGTTTGTCTCTCTCAAATTCCCTTCTCCTCTCTCTTAGAAGGATACATGTGACTGTATTTAGCACCCACTGGGGTAATTTAGGATAAGCTCCTCCTCTCAAGATCCTTAACTTAATCACACCTTTTGCCCAATAAGGTAACATCCTCATGTTCCAGGGAATTGACATAGATATCTCGGAGGAGGGGTGGGTAATTCATTTACAGATCTTTGCAAGTCTATAGGAGAGTTGGGAGAACGGACTTCAGAAAACCTGAACTGCCTTATATTCTCCAGTCACCCCCTCTTCACTTCTCTTCCATCCTAGTTCTTATTTAAAATAACTTACATTTGCATGGAATTTTATAGTTTGAAAAGTTATTATGCATTTATCAGCTCATTTCAGTCCTATAAAAACCTATAAATTTGATATCATTACTGTAATTCCATTTCTGCTGAGTAAATGGAGGCTCAGAGAGATTAAGTGAGCTAACCAAGGTCATGAGTGCTGGCAAGTGTGAGTGCTGGACTCCAGCCTGAGTCCTTGGACTCCCAATCCTGTGGCTCCCATTCTGCCATCACCTGCCTGAATCTTGGGATGGCATCAAGAGGTTCCAGAACCGGATGGAGTAGACGCACTTGGAGTAAATTCAGTTCTCCCTATTCCTCCTGCTAAGCACAGCTAAAAACCCTGGACATTTTATATAAAACCAATATGAGAAGATTCTGAAAGGTGAGAAGAAGAAGACAAACTGACTAGGGACCTTGGAACCCAAGGATCAACATGACAGTGAGTTCACTAGGTTTTCTTTTTGCCTCACATATCCTGGACTGTGTGCTGGAGAAGCAGCCTGGAAATGCCAATGGGCAGAGACAAAATAAAGTCTCAAGAAAAGCCTTCTTGCTTTCTTTCTCTAGCCAAAAGACTAGGGAAAAGGCAATCTAGCAAGATAGAAAAATTTTAGACTATAACTGCCCTACTCCAGCCAAGCACCATGGAAAAAATCATGGCCCCACCCCCACCCCTATAAGCAAAGACCAAGTGGAGACCTTAGGTCTCCTCCCTTGCCCAGCTGTAATGAGGTACCCTTCCCCATTCCCCACCCCTCACCAGCATAGTATCAGAAAAGACTGAATGGGAGCAAGGACTTTCATCCCTGTGCAGAAGTAATGAGCTCCCCATCCAAAGGTAACAAGGCTCCCTTCCCGATGCCTGCCAGAGTGTCAGAGGAGCCTCCTGGGGAGTCAGAAATCCCACAACCACTCAGCAGTGAGCAGTTACTTCTCCCCCGCCCACCACAGGTTGACACAGGAGGCTGAGTGGAGAACCTAGACCTTTGCCCCTGCCTGGCATTAGTGAGGCAAAGTCTCTTACCTACAACTGGCACTACGTCAGAGGAATCCTGCTAAAACAGAAGTTCCGGAGTCTCATAACACTCAAAATGTCCAGCACGCAATCAAAATCATA